GGAGGTTTCTGGTACTCCCACACTATCCCTGAAGCAGAACGAACAAGAGCGTTAGCAACGATTCAACAAGAAGCAGAGACAACAACATCGGCAGCAGCAACAACATCGGCAGCAGTAACAACATCGGCAGCAGCAACAACATCGGCAGCAGCAACAACATCAGCAGCGGCAGGAACAACGACACCAGTCACAGTCGACGAAGCACCACCAACACCCGCGCAACAGCTGAATCCGACTCAACGTGAAGTCCACCGAAGCGCCAACCTCGTCGCCAGCTTTTACTCCAACTCCGACGCATACCAGCGTTCACCTGGACACCGCGCCTCTGAAGAGATCTGGCACGCACGAACAGGACATCCAAGCAACACGGTTTTGAATAACACGATAAGAGCAGGAGTCCTTGACAAAGATTCTCTACTTCTACCCGATGGCAGAGAACTCCAGAAGGCACGAGGGACTTGCCTTATATGTCCCGAAGCTGACTTACCTCATCGACCGTTTGCTTCACATCACAACCCGAGCGCTCCAGCGTACGCACCACTCGAAAAAGTCTACAGCGACATCCTCTACAATCGCGAACCAGGACAAGTCAACTACAACTACACCATCACCTTCATCGACGCCGCCACTCGATACGTCTGGCATCGCAACCTACCCAGCCGCGACATGGCGCTCGCAGCATTCGCCGCCTGGCTACCGATAGCAGAGAGAGAGTCTGGAACACAACTGAAAAATTTCCAGTCAGACGGAGGTGGGGAGTACACCTCTCAGCGCTTCAAGCAGTTCTTGGCGGAAAGGGGGATCAAGCAACTCCTCTCCCTTCCATACGCACATCAGCAGCAAGGTGTTGCAGAACGACTGAACAGGACCCTGCAGAACAGCATGCGCAAACTGTTACGTGGCATGCGGCTACCCAACCACCAGTGGCCAGCAGCAATGGACCACGCTGTCATGCTACACAACTTGTTGTCGTCGTCGTCACTCCCGAACAACGCATCACCGCATCTGCTGTGGACAGGGAAGCAGGGCAGCACGAAAATGTTACGAGTTTTCGGGTGCATGGTACAGTACAGACCCCCAGAAGCACGAGCGGGAAGATTTTCGCAACGGGCACAGTGGGGACTACACCTCGGCATCGAGAAAAATTACAACGCATGGAGAATCTTCGACGTCCACACAAAGGAAACAGTAGCAGCACGTGACGTGATCTTCTACGAAAGACTCACCCTTCAGACGTACCTCGCCAACTTGCACGAGAATCGGGACCTCACCAGTGGTTTTCGTGGTGACCGAGCCTTCGCGTCAGCAGCGAACGAAGCAGACTGGGATGAACAGAACGTCGACAACGCCTCGGAAGAAGCCGGACCTCTCCCATACTGCTCCGTCGACGTGCCCATGGATGAGGATAATCCTCGCGACAGTAACAACGCCGATATCTTCTACCGTTTCGCCGACGATGGTTACGTAACACCTGCGACAGTCAACACCAACGAAGCAGAAAGGGTAGGGCCAAATTTCATGCCCGACCCAGAAACGGGAGACGAAGCAGCTTATCCCGAGGATCCAGAACTCCCTCGATACTCACAGACTGGGCTGCAAATCCTTGGTCTCGTCACCGCAGTCCATGGCGCCGGCATTCCTGAGGAGCCTGCGACGGTTCAGCAGGCTCTGGGGGGGGAACACAGGGAGAAATGGCGTGAAGCTATGGACAAAGAGCTGAAGGCATTGGAGGAGCGCAATACCTGGAAAATTGTTCCCATCGGCGCAACTCAAAATAAAAACATTCTTACCGGGAAATGGGTCTTCCGTGTGAAGACGAAAGCTGATGGCACCATCGACAAATTCAAAGCCCGCTGGGTCGTACGTGGCTTCGACCAAGAGCACGGAAGAGATTACACCGAAACCTTCGCTCCGGTCAGTCGCCACACCTCACTCCGAATTCTCATCGCCGTCGCCGCCATGAAGAAAAAGAAATTGCGACAAATCGACGTTGCGAACGCATTTCTCTACGCACCTGTGGATGCAGAAATCTTCGTTGAACTCCCGCACGGCTCCCACGGCGAACCCAACCGAGTGTGTCAACTACTCAAATCACTCTATGGGATCAAGCAGGCACCGCGACTGTGGCAGCAGTACCTACACGCCCGCCTCATCCGCATCGGCTTCAAACAACTCCCTCATGACCAGGGCATGTATCGCCTCACAAAAGGAGGCGATTACGTCCTACTAATCGTCTATGTGGACGATCTCCTCTACATTGGGTCAACCGACGACATCGCCACGTGGTTCGAAGGGGAGCTCCAGAAAGACCTCACGCTCACGGTCTCTTCTACGGTTACGCAATACCTCGGGCTCAACATCCGTAAGGAAGAAAACGCAATCTACCTAAGCGCCGAGAAGTATGCCGACACTATCGCGAAACGCTTTCGTCTCACACCAAGCGCCATCTCCACGCCTTATCGCTACGCGTCAGGAACCGAAAAGGGGCAATCTACTCTACTTAAACCCGCCGGCATACGCGACTATCAGAAGAAGCTCGGATGCCTTCTTTTCGCAGCAGTCACATGCCGTCCCGACCTATCCTACTCCGCGAGTCAGCTCGCTACCTATCTCAAGAGACCTGAAGCAGAGCATCTGGCGGAACTCGATCGCGCTCTCCACTACTTCGTCAGCACCGCGACGATCGGACTGACTTATCACAAAAAAACGTGACTGCACCGACCAAGCTAATCGGCTACGTCGACGCCGATCACGCCGGCGACACCGACAACAGGCGCTCACGCACCGGCTATGTCTACCGCCTTGAGCCTATCGGTCCTATCTCCTGGCAGTCGAGCAAGCAGGAGTTAATCGCACTATCTTCAGCAGAAGCAGAATATATTGCACTCTGCTCAGCCACCAAGGAGGGACTTTACCTTCGCGAACTACTGGAAGAAGCGAAGCTAGCCGAGTTACCCAGCTTCACCGTGTTCTGCGACAACCAGTCGGCAATTCGCATCGCCAACAAAAACGGCTTCGCAGACAGGACGAAACACATCGCCCTGCGCTATTTCTTCGTGAAGGACGAGATAGAAAAAGGGAAACTCGATCTGTCATACTGTCCAACATCCGAGATGGCAGCCGATTACTTGACCAAGAAACTCGGAAAGCAGAAGTTCGAATACTGCATGATGCTGACTGGACAAGGCCACGTCACCAGCAGCAACACTCCAGAAGCGAAGGGGAGTGTTGGAAACAATAAGTCCTAAGTGCGCTTCTGTCGTATCAAAATCCAAGGTACCAAGCGAAGCAGTCCCAATCGAAGCATCGAGTCAACCTCGGAGGTTAGGGTAACCGCCTGGAGGTTACGAGAAAGTCAAAGGTCGCTGACCTTTGACTCGACAATTACAGCGCGACAGTTAAGGACACACAACTGACTCGTTACAGAGCAGTTGCCCGAGTCGCGCTATATCGAACCGCAACAGCAATACAGTTATCTATCTATCTATTCGTATTCCCTGTACTCTTATATAAATCCTTGTATTTGCTTGTTTAATTCAATCTACTTTGCTCTCACACACCAGTGCAAGGTCGGTTCACAATCCTCATTGAACGCTTCCGCTATTACAAGTTTTCTACCCAAGAGTTCTCCTCTGCAAAGATCCTAAGGGCTATTTCTCAGCCCAACATAAAATATCCTGTGTGAATTTTTGTCCAATGGGATGGGCACCCAGAGACTTCGGAGCTATTATAATACAGCCGGGACACTTTCATTTCGGAAAACACACACTTAGTGCTACGAGAAAGGGGGCGCATTACCATTCATTAGAGTTGCAACTGACGTGACCTCGCGAAGGGGACGCGTAAATACACCCTCATAAATTGGTTAAACTACCTTTTTATTTGATCTTGACCACGGAGTAGTACCCCCGCGTGGTTAAGATAGCGGCGGTTGAAATACCGCGGACTAGGTGTAGTGCGGTGCTAATTCTGGCGTTGTTCTGCAGGCGTTTAGGGTTCCGCACCAATTTGACCGCGGTAGCCTTCCGCGCATTTTCTAGGCGCATTCATGCTGGTTGCGTTGCGTGGATGTTGCTGCCTCGCATAACATGTGCGGAGGCTGATGCTAGCTTCCGAGGTAAAATTAGCACCGCACTAGTTGTGCGACCATTTGCCCGGCGAAGCAACAACTTCGAACTTGTAGACGGTTAAATTCGTGCGCCCCAAAAGTGGCGTTCTGCAGGCTGATGCGTTAAATTTGGCACAAACAGGTTCGGCAGGACCTTTCTTATCACCAAACCTTGATAGGCAGAAGACCACTTATCAACAAAGATTCTGCGGACCCAGTTTTTGGAAATTTTAACGCCTACAGAACAGCGCCTCTACCTCGGGAGCTAGCGTCAGCCTCCGCACATGTTATGCAAGGCAGCAACATCCGTGCAACGCAACCAGCATGAATGCACCTAGAAAATGCACGGAAGGCTACCGCAGTCGAATTGGTGCGGAGCCCTAAACGCCTCCAGAACAACGCCATTGCGTTGCGTGCTTAGAAAGTTAATTTGCCAGCAGCAATTGCTAGCGGGGATTCGCGTTAACAAGTCGATGCGGATAAACTTGAGCCGAAGTTTCTGGGCGTAACAAGTTATTAACTTTTTAGATAGTGCCCTGGTTAAGACCAGAAGAGGATAGGTGACTTTTTTATAGCCATGGATCCCAGCTGGCCCTCGCGTCAGCCTCATAGTGCCACATCAGACCCGTTTTTCGATCTCTTGCCACCGTCGACTGCATCTCAACCGTCCTCCGCGCGCTCCACGTCATCGGCGTCCGCGTCCACATCGTCCGTGCTCGACGACCTCTACCGCTTCGGCTCAGGAACCAAAGCCTCGGCAACGATGCCCGGCAGTGGTAGCAACAGCAGCAGCCTCGGCAGCGGCGGCGGCGCTGGCGGCGGCGTTGGCGGGGGCAGCGCGGGGTATTCGTCGGGTGAAGGGAAATCCGCGCAAGGAGCTGCGGGCGGCGGGATGTACGCGGTGGGCGGAGATGCGCGCGCGCAGGTATCGCTGGACGGGCTCTTCCCCGCGACCGTGTCCATGCACCACGACGTCGGTGACCTCTTTGTAAGCACGCCCCGCCTTTGAGTTGTCTTTTTTGTGGCCGGGCTTTTAACTCGCGACCGTGTCCATGCATCACGACGTTTACGACTTGTTCGTAAGCACGCAACGCCTTTTGAATCGTCTCGTGATTGGACGGGCTTTTTATCGCGACCGTGTCCGTGACAAGTATTAGATTTTCGGTGATCTCTTCATGAGCTCGCAGATCTTTTTGAGTGACTGCGTGACGTCTTGAAAGTGGACGGAAATCTCCCGCGACCGTGGCTGTGTATTACGGCGTTGGGTAACCCTTTGGTAACACGCCCCGCTTTTATTAGGGGGAGAAAGGAAGTATTTCGGCTTCCTTCACTCTTCACCATTCTGCCGCCGCCCTTCTCATATCTCTCTTAATCGCTCTCTCTTCTCCCTTCGCCTACGCGTCTGCTTATTATGTTTTTAAAGAAATTCCAAGTCCGTTTTCCCAATTTGCCGTGCCTTACGTCTCGCGTGTTCGCCAATGGGTTCTTGCCGCGCTCACCCTTCCCCCCTCTCCCTGCGCTCACCCCTTCACACATACTTTACCTATCTGTATGCACCCCTCTCGAAAATCTCGGCACGACCTTTCCAATCATCGTCCTGCGCCAATTATCATCATTCCGCTCTTACCTATTCCGTGTCACTCCCCTCCGCGCCCACTCCCCATTCCCGCACATGCCGTGCTACACGCAGGGGGACCTGAGCGCGGACCGCGGGCAGCACCAGCAGCAGCCTCTCTACATGCCCTCCTCGTCCGCCTCGCGCGCTGGAGCGTCCGTGTCTCCCTCAACCTTCTCCTCCTCTTTGTCCGCTTCAGCCTCCCCGTCCCCTTCACTCTCCTCCTCCTCCGCCCCCTCGAATCCCCCCTCCTCGTGGTCCGCGTCAGTGGGGACAGCCATGCGCGCAGCAGCGGGGTGCGGGGGAGGGGGAGGAGTAGGGGGAGGTGGGGGAGGGCGAGGCGGAGGGGGAGGCTTCGGAGGTGGTTACGTTGGGGGGGATGGGGGGCAAGCAGCAGGCTCAGGCACAGGAGCCAGTGGTGGTGGCAGCGCTGGTGGCGGCAGCAGCAGTGGTGGCAGCAGTGGGGGCAGCAGTGGGGGCGGAAGCTTATCCATGGGCGGGGGGGAGGGCATGCGCGCATCAGCAGCAGCGCGCGCCCCAGCAACCGCCGCGGACCTGAGCCACGTCACGTCCGCGGTTCTGGGCGGCGTGGAGCGTCTGTTGCAGCGGTTCGCGGGCGGCGTGGGCGCGGCCGTGGGGGAGGTGGGGGCGCGCGTTGGCGCAGTGGAGAGCGCAGTGGGGGCGCTGCAGCGCGAGGGGGAGAGGGGGTGGCGGGAGATGGGGGAGAGGCAGGCGGAGCTGGAGGGGCGGATGCGATCAATGGAACAGCTGCTGCTGGAGGTGAGGGGGAGAAGGGGGAAAAAGGGTGGGGGAGGGGGGAGGAGGGAGGGGGCAGGGGGGAAAGGGGAGGGAGAGGAAAGGGAGAAATTCGTGAAGTCGGGGAAGGAGGAGGTGGGAAGGGGTGATGGCGGGGAAGGGGTTCAGTGAGAAGATTGGAGGGGGAGTGGGGGTGGTTGTTGGGTGTTGGTATCAGAGTGAATTGAGGGAGTGAGGGAAGAGAAAAGGGCGATTGCGCAGGTGGGGGCGTTCTCATTGAAAAGAGAGGAAGATTCGGTCAGAGTAGTTTGGGGCAGTTTTGAATCCGCCTTTGCAGCAACATCACATGCAGTGTGCTCGGCGCTTTTGTATTTCTTTCTTGTTATTTTCGTATCTTGGTTTGTCGTCTTCTTTCTCGTTTCTCTTTCAAAAGCGTGATCCCCACACTCTTGCTTTGCTTTCTGCTCTCCCCCTTCCCCTCCAACCTAGCAACCTCCATCCCCTTATCCCTCACCCCCCTTCCCTCCCGCTCCCCCCTTTCATCCTGTTTGGCTGCCCCTCAATATTAAGCCCGTGTGTTCCTCTGATCCTTCCCCCATGCGCCCCTCTGCCCCTACCCCCCATTTCACCCTTTCCCCACCCATCCCACTGCCCCTTCCCCCCCCTGTACCTCTGCCCATTTCCCCCCTGTCCCCCGGCCCCTTCCCCCCCTGCCCCTGTCCCCCGGCGCCGCATGCTCACATGGCAGGTACACAGGGGCATTCAGGTGCTGCGGGACCGACACGAACTAGCCGACGCTCACGCACAGCTCTCTCGCCTGCACTCCCTCTCCCTCGCCTCCGCACCTCCCAGCACCGCTGCTGGTTCCATCGGTACCGCTGCTAACTCCACTGATACCGCCGGTGGTGGTGCTGCTGCTGCCAGCACCATTCTCGCGCTGCCCGCTCCTCCTGCCTCTGCTGCTGCTATCCAGCCCACCCAGCCGCGCCCTCCTCCCCCACACGCCTCTCCTGCTCCTCATCCTCCCCTCGCTCCGTTGCCTCTCCCGCACTACCTTGCTTCCGCCCCATCTCCGCCCTACTCTTCCCCCGCTTCCTCCCCTCCTCCTCCCTACCCTGAGCCTGCGTCTGCTCCTCCTGCCCCTGCTCTGCCTGCCACGGCCCCCCCACCTCGTGTTAATGCTCCAACCGCACCTGCTGCCCCTGCTCCTGTTGCCTACCCTTTCCTCGCACCCACTGCTGCCCTGCTGTCACAGACACTGTTGCCCCACCCGCAGCAGCAGCAGCAGCCGCAGCAGCAGCAGCAGCAACAGCCACAGCAGCCGCAGCAGCAGCAGGGAAGCAGTGGGTATCCTTCGTCCTCTTACTATTCTGAGGCACAGGCACAGGCACAGGCACAGGCACAAGAGCAGGCAGAAAGGCAATACCGTGGGAACTTTGTAGTGTATCCATCTCTACCTCTAGCCCCGCACCACACACAGCACCTGGCATCTGCACAGCGGCACCAGGAGGAGGAGGAGGAGCAGCAGCAGCAGCAGCAGCAGCAGCAGCAGCAGCAGCAGCAGCAGCAGCAGCAGCAGCAGCAGCAGCAGCAGCAGCAGCAGCAGCAGCAGCAGCAGCAGCAGGAGCAGTTGCATCAGCAGCAGCAGCAGCAGCAGCAGCAGAATTTGCAGCAACACCACCACCAGCTTCAGAATTTTCAGGAGCAGCAGGAGCAGTTTCTGCAACAGCAGAATTTTCAGCAGCACCAGCAGCAGCAGCAGCAGCAGCAGCAGCAGCAGCAGCAGCAGCAGCAGCAGCAGAATTTTCAGCAACAGCAGCAGCAGCAGAATTTTCAGCAACAGCAGAAGCAGCAGGAAGGAGGCAGTCAGCATGTGGCACAACAGGCGCAGCAGCAGCAGCAGTACGGTGCGGAGAGTGTGGTTGACTCAGTGCAAATGCAGGCACAGGCACAGGCACAGGCACAGGCACAGGCACAGGCACAGGCACAGGCACAGGCACAGGCACAGGCACAGGCACAGGCACAGGCACAGGCACAGGCACAGGCACATGCACAGGCACAGGCACAGGCACATGCACAGGCACAGGCACAGGCACAGGCACAGGCACAGGCACAGGCAGAGCAAGAAGCACAGGCTCGAGAGCACTACATGCATCAACAGCAAAAGGAAGCATTGCAGGCAGCACAGCAGGCATCACAGCAGGCAGCACCCAGCGCTCCTCTTGCTCCTGGAAGCTTTGCTCCACCACCCCCACCAACAGCACCACCTGCAGCACCACCACCACTTACGCCACCACTACCGCCCCCACCACTCCCCCCACCTCCACCCCCACCTCCTGCTGCTGCTCCTGTCTTCCCCTCACCTTATCCCCAGCCGCCTCCTCCAAATGCTCCTCCTCTCCCTCCCTCGCCTCCTCCTCCTGCACCTGCCCCTCCCCCCCCCTCCCCCTCCCCCTGCAGCTGCGACTGCTCCTCCTCCCCCTCCTCCCTCTCCTGCGCCCGCCCCACCCACTCCCCCTCCGCCATACAGCATGCTGCCGCCATCTGCTCCCCCTCCCCCTCCTCCACCTCCTCCTCCTCCTCCAAATGCTGCTCCTCCTCCTCCTCCTGGTTACCCCAATCCCCGTGGTAACGCTCCTCCTCCCCCTCCTCCTCCCCCTCCTCCTCCCCCTCCTCCTCCCTCTCCTCCTCCTCATCATCCTCTTCCTCCCCCTCCCCCTCCCCCGCCTCCATCTCAGGGCATGTATGCCCCCCCCGCTCCTCATGCCATGATGTACTATCCACATGCGCCACCTCCCCCATACGGCATGCCTCCCCCTCCTCCGCCTCCCGCCGGGCAACCCATGCCAATGCCCATGCACTCCATAACTCAGCAGCACCAGCAGTTTCACCAGCAGCAGTACGAGCAGCAGCAGCAGCAGCAGCAGCAGCAGCAGCAGCAGCAGCAGTACCCGCCTCTGCCTCCTCAACCACCTTACCCCCAGTCCCTTTATCCTTACCCACCCCCTCCTCCTCCCCCCGGCGGCCCCCCCGCTCCCCCAATGCCTCCCCAGCCCTATTTCACTCCCCCTCCCCCACCCCTGACTCCCAGCTACCCCTCTTCCCCTTCCCCTGGGGCCTTCCCCCCATCCTCCCCTTCCCCAGGCGCCTCCCCCGCCCCACCTGCACCCCTTCCCCTTGCCCACCCTGTCGCAGCACCCATGGGGAATGGGCCCAGGGGGACGGGCGGGGGAGCGGGGGCAGCAGCAGCAAGGGGCGGAGTGAGGGGAGGGGGCGGAAGGAGAGTCACGTTTGCAGAACCTGTGAGTGATTCAGGGATGGCAGGAGCAGGGGCAGGAGGGAGGGCAGGAGGAGAAGGCTCCCGAGGGGTGGGAGGGTCTGGGTCTGGGTCTGGTGCTAATGTGAGTACGAGGAGTGTGCCTATAGAGAAGGTGGTGGATGACGTGGCAAGCATGGGGTTTGCGAGGGAGCGCGTGCGGGCGGCGGTGCAGCAGGTGATGGACTCGGGGCGGGGCGTGGACCTGAATGCCGTGATTGATCGGCTCATGAATGGATGAGGGGGGCGGGGTGAGGGGAGAGGGGCGAGGGGTGGGAGCGAGGGGAGAGAGGGGTGAGTGAGGGGAGGCCGGGTAGAGTGAGAGTTAAGGGGAGAGGGTGGAGGGACGAGGAGCGAGGGGGAAGGTTGAGGGGTGAGGGAAGGCAGGCTGGGGATGGGGGAGGGGTCAGATGAGGGGGGGGGAGGTGGTGAAGGCAGAATTTCGGGCATTGAAGAATCTTTGGAGGGAGGTACAGTGGGCTTGGCTATTGACACAGGTCTTGTTTCGATAGCAAGGCGCACAGCGCACACACAAGGCAGCATCAGTGAGTATCGATGGTGCAGCAACAGCAGCAGCAGCAGCAGCAGCAGCAGCAGCACTAGAGGGGATATGGGAATGGGACGGGGTGGTGGGGACAGTGGGGAGGAGAGTGGGTTTGGTGTGGAGTATTTCAGGAAGGACGCAACGTTGAGGATGCGCAGTGTGAGTGTGCGTTCCGGCACACGCAGCAGCAGCAGCTGTGAAAACCATTGCCACACCAAGAAGCTGGGGGTAGCAGGCAGGGTCAAGACTCGTCAAGGCAGGGCAACACAAGGCAATGTGCAAGTCTCTTTGGCTTGTTCACAAGGGTGACTTTTGTTGGTTGTTGTCAAGCTATGGCTGCTGCTTTCTCACGTTTCACTCTAAACGCATCGTTCAATTCTGCATCATGACAGGCTAGTATATCTGCTATATCTTCTTCATTCGATCCTGTAATATTCTATTGGACCATTACCGTCACCCCCCGGATATACCCCCATGGGGGGCTATAATATAACATGTTTTTTTGAGGGGGTGGGCTTATAATATAGTAAATTTATAAGCGCCGGCGTTTATAATTTGTCAAAATTGAATTTTGTTTTTAAATATACCAAATCGAAGCATTCTCAAAGGCGGACTCACCTGGGTCGAGAACGTTCGAAACTGTGCATGCATTGCGCGTGAAACGGCCAACAAGGCGTGGCTTCACGCCTTCCACGCCTTGTTGGCCAGGCCAGGTTCATCGAACGTGAACCTGGCCCATGCCAGTGCACACGTACCTCGCATCACAGCGGCCCAATCAGGGTTGCATGCGATCGTGGGCACGTCGTGGTTCAGCCACGGTGTGCCCATCAACAGCAAAATTCCCCGCCACCGAGGCAAGGAGCTGCCCAGCTCAGCTCCTCTGCGGGGAATCTTGACTGGGGCCACCCTTTTCCCGCAGAGGAGGCCGGGCCGCGAAAATGAAGGGGTCTCGGGCGAGGGCTTCATACAACCCTCATTCTCGACTTTTGCCTTCAGTTTCTTTGTTCGTTTGGCCTGCCGTGGCCATGGCGGGCCTTCCACGCACGCATTTCTTGTTCCGCCGACATCCTGCTGCCAGAGAAAACACCCGCCGAGACACCTGTGACTACTCTCAATGGCAGTCGCGCCCTGCGCCCGTCCCTCCGTGTCAACCAGTAGCTCCTCCCGTTCCTCCCACTCCTCCAACTCCTCCTGCACCTCCCGCTCCCCCGGCGCCTCCGGTTCCTCCAGCTCCTCCGTCCCCTCCTGACCCGCCTGTGTTTGGTGCTCCACGTCAGGGGGTCCTGCAGCTTCTCCTCCCTCCTGGCTACTCGGCGTTTGACGCGTACCTGTCCGAGCCCGACCGCGCCGGTGGCGCATCGTCTTCCTCCGCACCGTCGCCACGCTGGGGAGCCCCGGCTGATTGCCCGTTGGACGAATCCGCGACTGGTGCGGAGGATGACGTGGAGTTTTGGGCTGCCGACGGTCTTCCAGTGCACCTGCCTATTCCCACCTTCCCCCCCCCCAATAAGAAACGGCCCCACCCTTCTCGCGAGAATCGCGATGCCCGTCCTCCCTCCCCCAGGCACAAGCCTTCAAGTCACAAGCGGCACTCTTACACATCGCAGGAGAAACTGCAGTGGATTCTCAAGCTTGAGTCCGGGCACATGAGCGTGCGGCAGATGTCTCGCCAAACCGGCATCTCCCGAAGGTCACTCGCAGAATGGAAGACCCGGAAGGCTGACCTGGAGGGCGCGCATGCTGCTCGCAAGCGTCTTCATGGGCGCGGAAGGAGCTCGTGGTATCGCGACATGGAAGCTGAAGTCTACAGGAGGTTTCTTGCCCACCGGAAAAAATGTCTCGCGGTCTCGATCGCTCGCCTACAGAAGTGGTCGCATGAGGTGATGAAAGAATTGCACCCACAGGTAAAGTGGTCCGGCTCGCAGCGGTGGACTGAGCGGTTTCGCCGCCGTTGGAATCTGACAACCCGAGCGAAGACCAGGGTCGGCCAGAAGCTTGCTGCCAGTGAGTTTGTGGGAAATGGTTGCAGTTTAATGTGTACTGCTTTGTGTTGTTTGTCTCTTTATGTTTCACGGTTGAATTTTAACGCGTCATTAATACTGTCTTCTCTCTTTCCCTCCCACCCGTACTCCCAGACTGCGAGACTGACGTCAGGAATTTCTGGAAGTTTGTGCGTCACACCCGCCGCCAATACAAGATTGACCCGCAGTGGATAATAAACGCGGACCAGACACCACTGTGGCTCGAGATGCCTGCCGAACGCACAGTCGAGGAGGTGGGTCTGCGCTCTGTGCCTATCCGCAGCGGCGGCTATCAGAAGGAGCGAGTTACGGTGATGCTCGCCTGCACTGCCAGCGGTGAGAAGCTGAAGCCGTGGGTCTTCTTCAAACGGAAGACCCTGCCTAAAGGGGATTTCCCTTCAGGTGAGCATTAACACCCACTGCTGCATGTTTTTTTTTTTCAATGTCTACTGATGTTGTATGTGCGTTTGTGGCTGTGCAGATGTTACGGTGTCCGTCCATCCCAACGGTTGGATGGACGCGGACGGAGTCATCGAGTGGCTCGACGGGGCAGTAAAGCCGTTCGTCCACACCAAGTTTGGAGTGAGGCCCCGCAAAGCGATGCTCGTCTTGGATTCGTACCGCGGGCACCTGACTGCGGAGGTGAAGAAGAAGTTCGGGGAGCTGAACATCGTCCCTGCCGTTATCCCAGCTGGCTGCACCTCGGAGATTCAACCTCTGGACGTCGCGGTGAATCGCTCCTTCAAGGCATCCGTTCGACAGCTCTACCAGGAGTGGTTCGAGAGCGAGGGGGTCGACACCTTGACAAAAAAAGGTGAGAGAGGCAGGCCATGCGTGTGCTGCTTTATCAGTTTGTAGCGGTGGCTGACTTTTGATTGTTTAAATTTTATGGCAGGCAACATCAAGAAGCCACCACCCGAGCTAACGCTCAAGTGGATATCAGCGGCTTGGAAGGCCGTGCCCAGGGACTTGATTCAACGGGCTTTCCTCACCTGTGGCATTAGTAACGCCCTGGATGGGTCCCAGGACAAGATCTGCCTGCAACACAGGCGCGACGAGCTTGAGGGCGACGAAATAGACATCGACGACGACATTGCAGCAGATGGCTTTTTCTGCAACAACGTAGAAGAACCAGAGTCGGACTCTGAGGCCGACCCGGATGATCCTACCGCAGCTGATGACTAGATTACGTAGATCTAGAAATTGTTGTAGCCTGTGAGACTCGTAGGTAGATTTAGAACTGTAATTAGAAAAAACTGTAGATAAACTGACTTAGTATTTAATTAGATGAAAACATAAGTTGTTAATGTGGTTAGTGAAGTTTGTAGAAAAAAATATTTAAAAAAGTGGCGGTTATAATGTGTAAGGTACAGGTATGCGGCTATAATCCGTACGACTCTAGGGTATGCGCTTATAATCGAGGAGGGGATATAAGCGCCATATGCCAATTAGAAGCGCCAGGCGCTTATCCTAGGGTGGCGCTTATATCTGGGGGGTGACGGTAATAGTAGTCATTTCTTCATGTCTTCAAATGCCCTGTGCCATTCTGCCCACGAAGCTTCTTATCCTGAATACAGTCACAGTTCATGTTTCGCGGCTCAGGAAGATATTACACGAAAGAAAACTGTTTGACGCTGTAAGGAAAATTCCTTTTCCTTACTTCGCGTTCCCGCTCAGCGCGTACACCACTGTAGCACCACAGTCAGCACCGTTACCATTCGCAACTCTCGCATCGACAATCCTCCCGCCACCTTCGCACGTCGCACCCCGACCTCACGGCTCGGCGGGTAACCCGCGCTCCGGGCCTCCGCTTCGGCACTTTTCCCAACCTCAGTCCCAGGCCCGACACGTGACAACCACAGTCCGTGACCGTTACCACTGTAGTTTCGCTATATATATATATATATGTCAAATGTTGTAGCCTGTAGTGAGGTTTGTCTTAGGGGGTACAGAAGTTAGGGTTTGTCATATGTACCCCAACCAACATCAATGGAACATTCATTCCTCATTTTGACATGGTATCAGCTAGGTTAGGATCCTGTGGGATCCCGTTCCTCCGTTCTCCGTTCGTACCTCCCGAGCCTGATCCTACCTCTCGTTCGTACCAGTTTCGTAGTTACCGCGCCTAGTACCAAGCCTAGCGCCATCTCCCCCGTCGCGTCACGCCCGTTCCCCCCAGTCGCCTCGCGCCCGTTCACCCCGTCGCGTCGCGCCCGCCTGTTACCCCCCCCGTCCCGTCGCCCTGTCCCGTCGCGTCGCCCTGTCCCGTCGCCCTGTCCCGTCGCGTCGCCCTGTCCCGTCGCGTCGCCCTGCCCTGTCCCGTCGCGTCGCCCTGCCCTGTCCCGTCGCGTCGCCCTACCCCGTCGCGTCGCCCTGCCCTGTCCCGTCGCCCTGCTCCGTCGCGCCGCCCTGCCCCGTCGCGTCGCCCTGTCCCGTCGCGTCGCCCTGCCCCGTCGCGTCGCTCCCGCCCTTTCCCCCGTCGCGTCGCCCTCCCTAGGCCCTGGCCCGTCGCCCTTCCTAGGCCCTGGCCCGTCGCCCTACCTAGGCCCTGGCCCGTCGCCCTACCCTAGGCCCTGGCCCGTTGCCCTACCCTACGTTTTGGCCCGTCGCCCTAGCCCGCTCTTCCGCTGCGACTGAGTCCTCTTCCCCCCCGGTTGTTACTCGCCTGTTCGTTCG